GAAATCAGATATTCCTTGAAAATTGGATGATCATGGAGGTGTAAAATCGTGCAAAAATGGACTATTGAGCAGCAAGTCCTGTGAATCTGGCACCTATGCTAGGGAAGCTTTGCCATTTTGTCAGCCTGGTTTGGCCAATGGTTAGGTGTTGAGTTTTAGTCCAGATGAAGTAGGGATCTTCTTCCTTTTCCCCCCTCTCCATGTGCAGGCCATTCAAGTCAGCCTTAGAGCACTTTGTCAGCTTACCTGCTGTAACAGGTACTGGCCCATGTGTCGTTCTGGCGCATACCTTGGGCTCATCTTAGGCATTACTCACATGAAATTGGAGGCCACTAGCCATTTTCCTGATGAGTGCCCAGTGGCTTCATGTTTTGCCATATGCCTTCCTTTAATTCTGTTTAGCTCAATGCAGATTCATAAATTTAAATGCTTTCTATGTTTTCAGACCAATGAGGGTACACAGTGTCACAAACAAAAGAACCACATGACCCAGTCCTAGACTCCAGGGAGCTTACAGTTTTCCTGGGAAGATAAAGTACTTACATGAAACAATCTGAGAGTTAAGATGAAAGAGCTGTAGTCTCTGTTGGCCTGAATAGAGGCTCAAGTGCTCAAATGGATGATCCAGTCAGTAAGTTCCAAGACTGGTGAGGAAAGAGAGAAATCAGAGACGGCTACAATTTTCAGGAAAGACTTCAAAGAGAAGATGTGGGCCTTGATCAGTTCTAGACATTTTAAAATGGGACAGGTGATGCTACGTTGATGTGGGCATTTCAGGCCCTTGAGGATCAGGATGAAGTCCCTAGACTCTGATAGAAGTGAGACATTGGGTCAAGGGAGAGAGCTCTTAGAAGAGGTAAGAATTAGTAGAAAGAGGGGGCAGAGATGGAAAGTGGACTTGAGAAAACAGCCTGTTTAATTTGGACTGTGTGTGATGGTTTCCAAACACCTCTCCCCTCTCTTCATCCTATGCCTTTTTCAGTTTCCAGACCCTCATGTCATGACTCAGCGCAGCTGCAATTATGTAGCTTTTCCTTTCCGCTTGACCCCCCTCAGCTAAAGTACCACTTTCTTGGAACCTAAAATGGAGTGCACTGCCAATGGAGCAGATGAGAGATTGATTTTGGACTGTCAGCCCTGATGGAAAGCTGAGGGCTGTTGCATGGCCTTCCTTGAGGTGGCCACTAGAAGATGGTGTCGGGTGGCTTTTCTGAGAGGGTGGAATTTGGGATGCCTGCAAAACGCTTCTCTAGAAAACTGACACTTGTCGAGCTCCATCCTTCCCTGAATTAGTCAGGACCATGACCCCCTTTAGATGGAGTCCCAGGGCTCAGTCCCCTCCAGTGGAACATGGATGACATTATCTTGGGAATAAATGTGATGGTTGACCTGGTGAACTCTGAGGGCTCAAGGGAAGAAAGGGTTGCTGGATGAGGTAATGACCCCTGTCAGGCTATATAGAAAACCATCTAACAGTAGAGAACAGATTGTCTTTTTCACCCTGACAGGAGAACCACTTCCTTGGAGGATGCCAGGAACCGTGGTACCTTTGTTACTTAAAATATTATCAGGAAGAATTCTAGTGGGCCTTGGCCTTTCTTAGGTGGGGGAAGGGACACATGACCTAATGAGGGTTTCATTAAGATGATTAAGATGATTGTCCCAGTGCCTTGGAAATGGCACCTTGCACCCAGAGCTATGGAACACTCCTGTAAATTAATTCACTTATGCCCATCTTTTCCCAAGACAGGTGAGAGAAGGGCAGGGCACACCCATAGAGGAAAGACCACAAATTGTTGGAAAACACAATTTCCTTTCATTATGCTGCTTCCATCTGCATTTTTCTTGGGCAGTTAAGGGTTGCCATGGCTGGTCACCACTTCAGTTGTTCTGATATGACTCTGATGGCACACCAGGAAGAGATGACCTCAGTGACCCAGTCAACTCAGAAAGTTAATTTTGCTGCTTACCAACCAATCACTGAACAATCCAGGCCTGACAGGGGAATTTGGACTGAATGTCTTTCCTTGTGGAATTTTGACATAAGAGAAAAAAAGGCACTTCACTTATTTTGTGAGCTTGTGAGAGGCAGGATAGCATGGTGGTTAACAGCAGGTGCTTTGGATTCGCTTGATTCACGTCTGTGTCCCTTGCTTAACAGCTGTGTGCCCTATGCCACGTTTCTCAGCTTCTCCAAGACTCAGTTTCTTTCCTAGTAAAATAGGGATAATAGTACAAATCTAAAAGGTGCTTTAAGAACTTGATGAGACAATATATGCATGGCACATCACGGTCAATCAGTAAGTGATGGCCAGTAGTAATAATTACTTACATCTAAGATTTGGATAGGGAAAATATTTGGTAGATTTAATGAGATGGACAATTTGGCAAAGAAATTCATTGTAATACTTGTTATTAAAAGCAGACAAATATCAAAAACACTGGGTAGAGCTATGAGTCGGGTAGATGCTCCTGACCTCCCCTGTGCTGACCACACCTGGCAATAACGTCTGACCACTGGGCAGCTGACTGAGGCTGGCTTCCTGGCTTTCCCCACCCCGTGACCAATGAGAGCACAGTAGCCTTTGTCTTACTGGTGGCTAACACAGAAGGTCCGAGTTAGAAACTATAGTATATGCCCTCAAAGAATGTTTGCTGATCACCTGCCATATGCCAGACACTGTTGTAAGACCCAGGAATCCAACAGTGAACAGTCAAAGTTCTCGACCCCATGGAACATACATGGAAGTACCTACATGTAAACAATTAAATTAATAAGGTCATTTCCAAAGGTGATGAAGGCTGTGGGGACATCTTCTTTTCCTCCAGCATTTGCCATAGCAAAGCCTCCTGATAATGTCAAATGTGGCTTTCAAGGCCACCAGGGCTGATTCCATTGCGCCTCCCTATGCATACACAGGACTCCAGGGCAAATCTTCTGACTTGTGACACACAGATGCCCCCAGGTCCTCTGAAATACAGAGTGCCACCAAGCATTGGAGAGACTTGGAAAGTCCTTTTTACCTCTTCCTGGGTTCATGTTAATAGCACTCATATCTGAAAGGGCCCCTTTGCAAAAAAATCCACAGTTCCACCCAACTCATATTTTCCTGTCTCTCCCACTTGCTCAGGTCTCTGTGCTATTTGAAGGCTTAAAAAATGTGTAGAGTCCTTGGGATTACATGTTACTTAGTCAAAAAGAAATATGTTCCCTCTTTTTTTCCTACATGCAGAAAAATATCTCTGGAAACATACACCAACCAATGCCAAATGCCTGGGAGTCAGGAAAAGTGATACCTGCCAAAACTTTAAAGTTGAATTTGCATTCAAAGTGAAAATTAGGGAGCTGGCTCTCCTGAGCTTTGGCTCTGTGACACACAGGAAGCTGAGCAGGCCCTGAACTAGAGGTCAGGGGAGCCCAAGTTCTCTGGAAGTTATTACTCATGTGACATTGAGCAAATCTTCAAATATCCCTGGGGTTCAGTTTCCTTATCTGTGAAATGGGATGATCAAGAGTTGTTATGGGGGTAAAATGAGGTAACGGCTAGCCTCCAGTGCCTCAGCTGTGAAGCAAGCGGGCTATCAGTGGAGCAGGGGTCAGCCAGAGGGGTGGGCTAGGGCTAGACGGATTGAGAGGTGGCTGGTATTTGGGATGTCAGAATCTTAGAGGGCACGGTGACCTTCAGTATTAGCCAGCCTGTGCCAGTATCCATGGGGTCATGCTGGTATCCATGGGGGTGGCTGAGGCGAGGCGGTGGGGGGTTCTGAGAGGGGCCCTAGTTCTAGGGCCTGGTTCTGGTGTGTGGGACGGAAGCAGGGCTCTATCCAGCAGGTGAGAGTGAATGTAGAATGTGCCAGGCTCCTGGGGGGGCTGGCTAGTGCATGCTGGGTGAGTAATCGGGGCATCAAGGTGTGTTGGGGCTCAGCTGTAGCCTCCTCAAGGGTGTGTTCAGAAACCCAAGGCAGAAGGTGGGTTGTTGGCCTGAGGGCTCCTGTTCTGACTTAGAGAGAAGACTGTAGATTGCAGTTTGGGGCTATAATTATTTAAGGCAGTGAGAACAATTTGGGAGCTCACCTGTGTGCCAGAGGAAGAGGTAGGAGAGTGGGGATTGAGTGCCTAATCTACTGCCACATCTGGTTAAGGTCAGCTCGGGACGTGGGGCTGAGCTTGCAGGCCCTCAGGAGCTGTGGCCAACGTGGGACAGATGCATGTTGATGGGTATGATGTGGAATACATAATACTAACATGATAATATAGTTCACATTATTGAGTTCACTCATTGTGCTGAGCACTATGCTAAGTGCCTGACATGCAGCATCTGATGTAATTTAATTTTCATAACAATCCTATGAGATATCCCCCACTTTACAAATGGGGAAATTGAGGCACAGAGAAGTTAAATAACTTGCCCCAGGGTTATAGTGATGGAGTTGGGATTTGAAACCAACTTTCTCTGACTCCAGAGCCTGTGCTATTATTATGATTTTACTAAATAACAATAACAAATAACAACAAAACCATAAGGACAAGAATAAGAGTGGTGGTTGTAGTGGTCCTAGCTCTGTCATGTTCTGTGTAAGCACCTGATTCCCCCTGATCCTCACACAACCCGTGACACAGAGATGGTTCCCATTTCACAGATGATAAAACTGAGACCTGGGGAGGTAACTGGCCCAAGGTCACACAGCTGGTAAGAGGTACAGCCAACACGAAAACTCAAGTCTGCCCTGTGCCAAGGGCTGCTTTCTTAACCCCTGGAGACTGGGTTTTGATCTCCTCCTTTCTTGAGAAATATGTTCTTGTCTCGACAAGCTGTTCACAGCAGGCTAATGGCACTTGAAGGAGATTAAAGGCCTGTGGACCTAGTACTTAGACCAGGCCCTTCTCCTCTCACCCTTCCCTCGGGGACCACTGCCTTTGCAACCTTCCTTGCCACAACCCAATTTGGGAATTGAAAAACTTTTTGAACACACACATTCTCTCTCTCTTTCTCTTGTAGGCTGAAAATTGAAATTAAAGCAGAAGACACTTCTGGAAACAAGGAAAACCTTTTCTGTAAGGAACATAAAATTCTTTGAGTGAGAACTAAATAAGAGTGTGGAGTGGCTTTCCTTTGAGGTGTTTGTGAAGAAAATACATCATGGCTGCTGTGCCTGCTTAGTCCTGGGTGACTGAAATCCGTCATGACATCAACCAAGGCCTGGGTTAACTTTTTCTTCTTAACTAGAAAATTTCTTGATAACCCATATTACTGAAAAGAATTGACAGATATTTGACAGATATAACCTATCCATTTATTCATTTGTATGCAAAATCTATTTTGTATTTACGTGTAACATTGTCCTTTGCACTATTACTTTAATGGCAAGTTTATTACTCTGTATCTGTTTCAAAGTTTGCATACCCAGGCCTCAGGCCACAGTCACAAGGTTGGACAAACTCACCTTCCAGATCCCCGTCTAGTTCCTAGAACCTTCTCATGTGCCCTGCCAGAGGCACCTGGAGATGTGGGGGGTTGCCTGAGCCGAGAAAGACATTTCATCTTTAAAAAGAATGTGGAGCAACAAAATAAATAAAGTAGTATTGGATTATGACCCAAAGTATAAAGTAAATATCTATGAGTGCATACTGACATAAATACATGGTTGAATAAATAAATAAATGGGGGCAAAGAGACAAATCTCCCGAGCAGAAGAATTCCAAATAATTTATGTGGATTCTCCACCCTCAAGAAGGTAGACCATAACTCTCTGTATTAGTTTTCTGTGGCTGCTGTAATCACAAAGTGGGTACATTAAAACAACAGAAGTCTATTCTCTTAGAGTTGTGGAGGCCAGAAGTCTAAAATCAGTATCACTGAACCGAAATCAAGATGCTGTGCTTTGTTGATGAAAATAATCCATAACCAATCTATAAATGAAAATTTGGGTGAGTTTATTCTGAGCTAAAATGTGAGGACCATGGCCCGGGACCTTTCTTCCCAAAGGAAGAAAGGGCACTGAAGAAGTAGGGTGTACAGAGTGGTTATACACCTCCAAAGAGGATGTTTCACATATGATTGAAATGACCCTTTTACCATAGTTGCGAGACTGCTCTGTTGGCACAGTGATTGATGGACACAGCAGGTAGGTCTGCTGTCTCGGTGGACACAGCAGGGTGGCAGGTCTGTTGTCTTGAGCTGGGTGGTCACATGTGAGCTGGGTAGTCAAAGGTGAGCGCAGCAATCAGTTCCTAGCCTGAGGAAAGATGCTTATCCCTAAGGAAATGCCAATGTAGGGGGAAGTTGCACATTTATCTTAAGGCCATTTGTTCTTGCCATAGTAAATGTTTAAAGTGGACATACAATGCGTGCTCAATGGCCATGTCAGGCCCTTTTGGAAAAACAAAGTCAGGCCGAATTAGGTTTAAACCACATGGCTTCCTCATATACTCCAATATTTCCTGTTGCTGCCATTTCCATTTGTCAGCTTCCTCCGGAGGCTCTAGGGGAGAATCCATTCCTTGCCTCTTCCAGCTTCTGGTAGCTGCTGGTCTTATCACTCCAATCTCTTTCTTCTCTTCAGTGTCAATCTCCTGTTGCCTCCCTTTTATAAGGACACTTGTGATTGCAATTAGGGCCCATTTGGATAATGCAAGATCATCTCCCCATGTCAAGATCCTTAATTTAATCACAACTACAAAGTCTCTTTTGGCATATAAGGTAACAGTTACAAGTTCTGGGAATTGAGAGGTGGATATATTTGGGGCCCTTATTCAGTCTACCACATTCCCTACTCATTAAGTGTGGGCTGTGCATAGTGACTTTCATCCAAAGAGTGTGGTAAGAAAAGGGGGAAAAAGAGTAACTTGACGGTGGAGAAACCTGATAAACACCACCTCAGCCAGATGATCAAGTTCAACATCAACAGTGGTAAGTCGTGTTGATGGTATGTACCCTTGATACGATGTGATGAGAATGGCAATTTACCTCTGTGATCTTCCTCCCCAAACCACATAACCCCAGTCTAATTATGAAAAAATATCAGATAAACCCCACTTGAGGCACATTCTGTAGAGTATCTAGTACTCCCCAAAACTGTCAAGATCACCAAAAACAAGGAAAGTCTGAGAAACTGTCACAGTCAAGAGAAACCTAAGGAGCCATGACAAAGAAATGCAATGTGGTATTGTGGATAGGGGCCTGGAACACACAAAGGACCTTTGGCAAAAACTAAGGCCATTTAAATAAGAAATGGACTTTTGGTTAATAATAATATATTGATATTAGTTCTTTAACTGTAACAAATGAACCATACTAATGTGAGATGTTAATTATAGGGGAAACTGGGTAGAGAATATAGGGGATCCCTTTGTTCTGTCTTTGCAATTTTTCTATAAAATTAAAACTATAACTATTCTAAGAAATAAAGTTTACTTAGAGGGGCCGGCCCCGTGAGTGGTTAGGATGGCGTGCTCTGCTTCGGCGGCCCAGAGTTTCACCGGTTCAGATCCCAGGCATGGACATGGCACTGCTCATCAAGCCATGTTGAGGTGGCATCCCACATAGCACAACCAGAAGGACCTACAACTAGAATATACAACTATGTACTGGGGGGACTTTGGGGAGAAGACGAAGAAGAAAAAAAAAAAGAAGATTGGCAACAGATATTAGCTTAGGTGCCAATCTTTAAAAAAAGTTTATTTAGAAAAAAAGGAACACAGAGGCACAATATCTGAAGACATGAACAGCTACTTCACAGAAGAGGAAATATGCGTAACTAATAAGTACATGAAAAGATGCTCAACCTCCCCAGCATTCCGGGAAGCGTAAAGCCACTCCACTGTGGATTTGTATATCTACAAATGGGCAAAAATTAGGAAGTCTGACAACACTAAGTATTGGGAAAACAATTATTTGGTATTCTCTTTTAAAGTGGAATATTTGCATGTCCTATCAATTCTGCTCCCAGACCTGTATCTGAGAGAAACTCTTATACCTGGTCACCAGGACGGACAAGAATGTTCACAGCAGCAGAACGTGCAATAGCAAAAAACTGAAAACAACTCCTAGACAACCATCAAGAGGAAAACGGACAGATACATCGGGTTGTGTTCACATGACGGAATGTCACACAGCAGTGGAAACAGATGGACTACATGTATCACCATGGATAAATATTAGTACAATAATGTCAAGCGAAAAAAGGAAGTCCTAGAAGAATTTATATAAAACCTGATACCTTTTTCTAAAGGTGAAAAGTAAGCAAAACTTAGACAACATATTGTTTTTGCTTAACTAGTTGTATGATAAATTATATAGATGTAAACAAAGAGATGATAAACAAATTGAGGCTGGTGCTCACCTTTGGGAGTAGGGTTGGGGAGGCAGGGAGTTGGGATAAGAAAGAACACCTAAGTTACTGGTAATGCTCATGTAAGTTATTGGTTATGATCAATATGTAAGTTATTGGTGATGCTTTAGATCTTGGGGTTGGATGGTACATTTAGGGCGTTCATTATATAATTTAATAAATAAAAGAGGGCCATCCTTGAACCAATGATAAAAATGAGTTATAAACCAACGCTGTGCACCACAGATAGCCCCCTCCAAAGAAAAAAAGAATAGAGGAGAAATTCTTCAAATTTTTGTTTACTGAAGTGGGAAACACAAATTAAATTTTATAAAGTGACAAAAATGAAGCAGGGTATTACTGGTGGAAAACCCAGCAAATCAGTAGAATGGAGTAGAAAGCCCTAGAATGTTCAAATGTACATTCACTTTTCATTTACGACAGAGCTGATGAGTCAAATCAGCGGGGATCATTTGTCACTGACAACGCTAGTGTGGCCGTGGTCTCCCGAGTTGTGTGAGGGAAAAGTGTCCCCTCACTCAGGATTATTCTCAGCTGTGAGTATTCGCTGCCTAAGCAGGCCAGGCCTCCCGGTATTCCTGCTCTTTAGTGGCAAAGCAGACCAGATCATAAATACCCACGTTAGACAAAGCCAGCTGCCCAGCGCATGCCCTCAGCGCCAGGTTGGCTGGGGAAGGATGCTAACATCAGCCTGTGTTATTCTCAGAACTAGTCTTCCCCTAGGATGACTAGGCTCTCTTCTTGAGCCCAGGTAAAGGGTGCACACACACCTCTCCCTTACAGATAGGTGACCATGTTAGCCTTTCTTAGCAGTTGGGCCCCTGCTATCAATTAAACTGTTGTAATAATGTTGAATGTTAGAGGGAAAAGGTCAAGGTATTGATCCTCTTCCTTCTAGAAACCTCCTTGTTTATTTGGCAAATTTGTCCACTTATTCTCCAATAACTTTTAAATTCCTTTTATCAGTGGATGTGAGGGAGGGGCAGCCTAATTCTATCTGCTTATAGAACTGAGCCCAGGACTTTGCCAACCAAAAATAAAAGTAATCAGACAGGCAAGTAGATACAATGGTCTCTCCAGAACCATGTGTGCTTTCTATCTACGTAAACTGAAAGGGGCCACTCAAGTGACTCTTCCCCAAAATGAAAATCTGCTCAAAGATTTCTTGTTATTTCCATCATTATAAAAAAGAAAGATTTTAATAACTTTTCAATGATCAGGTTTCAGGTTAAGAACATATTAGATAAATTAAAGTTTTAATTCACTGGGCACCATCCCGCTACAAGGTGAAAGAAGAAGAAAAATGAAAGTCATTATAACATTCTATTTTCCAAAGCCCTCACCAATATATCCCACCTCATATGGTAAACTCTTATGACAGTGTGAACTTGACGCTCCTCCATTGAAAGTTGGGGTCTCTGCTCATCCCCTTGAGTCTGGGTGGGTCTGTGACTAGAGTGGAAGTGAGGAAGTGAGACTATGGGATTGCCAAGGCTGAGTCATAAAAGTTGATAGATCTTTTTGCCTGGTTCTTTTTGGACACTCAACCTCGGAACCCAGCCACCATGTTGTGAGGAAGCCAAGCTGCCACAAGAAGAGGCCATGTTTAGCTGCACATTTAGGTCACAGCCCCAGCCAAAGGCCCAGCTGGCAACTGCCAGACATGTGAATGAATGCACCTTCAGATTATTTCAGCCTCCAGCCTTTGCAACATCCCAGCTGTCACGGAGTGGAGCAGAGAATTGTCTCTGCTGAACTCTGCCCAAGTTGTAGATTTGTAAGCAAAATAAATGCCATTTGAAACTACTGAGTTTTGGAGGGGTCGGTTACGCACCAATAGATCGCTGGAACAGCATTACCTCCGTGGCACAGTTCAGATATGGCACTGAGCACCATCTCCATCGTATCATC